GGACTAAAAAAAGTGATTTTGCAGTTCCCTAACAGTATGTTGTTGTAAATACTCTACACATATTTTACATTTTTCTGATGCATCATTACCTATCTTGGAGATTACATTATTTGGTAGCATTGAATCTCATTTAATACTTTAATCTTTTGTAAAAATAAATATATTTTTCTTTCTTTATTCTTGCGAAAGGTTTCGATCTCATCAAAAGTGTATTATCGAACCTATTATTTCCCAAATATTTTAACTATCATAAGATCTATTCTTTAAGACTTCCTCCAAAATCGGTTTCGGTCCAGACATATTCAAATGAGCCAACATTTTAAGGATATGTTAGGATTAATGTGGAGAGATTGCGATACAATTTTCAACCCTGTACGATGATTCCAACTGTATAGGACAGAAGTATATTCGCATGTGGGTATTGGAAGATTTGATTTACCAGTTTTATCACAAAAACTGAGTCAAAAATTCTATTTCTTGAATCGTCAAAGTCGAAGAAACTGATTGGCTGTTTTGTAAATTAGTTTAGGATAATGATTACTTGTCAGCAAGAGATTGTAAAAACTAGCGGTTCTTTATACAAGTGCACTTTAACTAATAAATGCTGGCGGCAAAATAAATTTTATGCTGTTACACACTAATAACATAATGAAATAAGCTAATTTTACTTGGTAATATTTGCTCTTACAGTAATTAAGAAACTTGATACTAAAAGTCTTATGTTTACGAGCAAGAAGCCTCATACATGGAAAGTCAATCATGAAAGAGCTGGTTGAGGAAGAGCTTATCACATACGTCGGATTAACTGAATTTTCACTCGGGAAAATCGAATCGATCGAAAGTTCAATATTAAAAACATGTGCATCGAACACTTAGCGAATGAGATTTTTGACGTCTCAACTTTCACTCTGACAAAAACCGAGGAAAATTTATTTTATTTCATATAACTTTTCCGACACTTGAGAAGATATTATTACCTAAGCAAACAGAAAAGGCATGCAATGGGTGTGACGAGCGGTCGAAAATTTGGTATACATATATTTTGTTTGTTTTGTTTCAATGTCGATCCCCTCGGCACCTATCAAATTTCGAGGACTTCGGGAGAAGTGACCCATCGAAATAATACTACCGATTCCTAACACATTTTAATCACTCGACTAAAACAAACATATTGAAAGGATCATTTTAAGTGCTTCAAAAGAGTCAAATCGATCATAATAACAGTTTTGACAGAGGAGTCTATCATTTTTGATCATGTGAAACTTCTTCAAAATCCGATTTTAAAATATTCTTTACTTTTACTCAATAATTTTGGTAATATTATTCAAGTTTGCTTCATAATTCACCTTTATTTCAGAATTTCCTGATAAAAATTGATCAGCCACTGAACGTAAGTAAAGTTAGCACCAGATTGGAGTATTTCTAGTCCCGATTGGCCATTTTACATGTGTTACCTCTGGAAAAACTTGTGTTAGGTGCACAATTTTATGTTCTATCCAATGGTACTATATTCATGGAGGGTTATCAAGCAAAACCCATCACTTTCTCCCGAAATACTACTTTTTGCCCTATGTAAAAAAAAGCACACTTACTGTATTTCTTACCCCGATTCGCTATACCACTTGTGTTGACTTTCTAAACACATCTATTATATGCAGAATTAAATTCGAGATCGATTGATGCCATTTTCAAGAGGTGTTATCGGACAAAAATGGAGGTTCTGCCCCAAATACCGTTTCGAAGACAGGTTTTTGGAAGTAATTCTTACCCTGACTCGCTATCCAACGTGTGTTAACTTTCTAAAAGGGTGTGTTAGAAGCAGAATATAATTTTCTATCGAATGATGCCACTTTCAAGTGGTGTTATAGCAAAAAAAATGGGGTTTCTGCCTCAAATACCGTGTCGAAGATAGGTTTTTGGAAGTAATTCTTGCCCTCATTCACTATAGGACTTGTGTTGACTTTTCAAACAGATGTGTTCGATGCAGAACTAAATGATCTATAGAAAATATCTTTTTACAAAGAAAACAGAAGTTGTAGAGCCAATGGGAGCAAGAATTTCTCGCATGAACGAGCTCAGACCCGGTCTTCGGGGAAAGCCGCCATTTTATGCCCGACAACACTATTGGAAAATAGTACCAATGGGTAGAGAATTTAATTCTGCACCCAACACACCCTTTTAGAAGGTTAACACAAGATAGATAACGAATCGGAGCAAGAATCACTTCCAAAAACCTGTCTTCGAAACGGTATTTCGGGCAGAAACTCCACTTTTTCTACTATAACACCACTTGAAAGTGACATTATTCGATAGAGAATTGCATTCTGGTTCCAAGACACCCTATTAGAATGTTAACACAAAGTTGGATAGTGAATCAGGACATGAGTTACTCCCATTATAGGCTCCCACTGAGTATTTGTGGTACAACCCCCACTTTTTGCCCGATAACACCGCTTCAAAACAGTACGATTCGATAGAGAATGTAATTCTGCATCCAATACACTCCTTTAGAAAGGTAACACAAGTCGTATAGCGAATCGGGGCAAGAATTACTCGCAAAAAGGGGTCTTCGGTATGGTATTTGGGGCAGAACCTCCATTTTTGTCCGATAACACCTCTTGAAAATGGCATCAATCGATCTGGAATTTAATTCTGCATATAACAGATGTGTTTAGAAAGTCAACACAAGTGGTAAGCGAATCGGGATGAGAAATACAGTAAGTGTGCTTTTTTTACATAGGGCAAAAAGTAGTATTTCGGGAGAAAGTGGTGGTTTTTGCTTGATAACCCTCCATGAATATAGTACCATTGGATAGAGCATAAAATTGTGCACCTAACACAAGTTTTTCCAGAGGTAACGCATGTAAGATGGCGAATCGGGACTAGACGTATTCGAATCCGGTGATAACTTTACTTACGTTCCACTGATTGAAACCAAAACTAAAATTCGGCTGATTTTTTTGACTAAGGCATAGTAATAATCAATGTCCACGTTGTGAATTTAAAAAAAATTACTAAATATTGATCCTCATGCTTCCACATGCAAATTGATCAATTGTCACATATCGCACGTCATATTTATTTCATAGGTCATTTACACGGAATTTTAAATAAAAAAAGTTATAGTGTGACTTGCAGAGATATAAAGTCTTCTTTCTTAATGAAATTTTTTTCATGATAAAAAAAACTTTTCTCGATTAAAAATGTAAATTTTAGTGTTCAAAAAATAATCATTTTTCTGCATGAAAAATATTATTTCTAATGTTAAAAAGAAATCTTCCTCTCTGGACAAAAAAATATTATTTTTAGTCTTCAAAAACTAAAATCCAAAGTAAGAAAGCATGAAAAATAATAAGTACCATTTTCTTATGAATTAAAAAGATCGTTTTTTTGTAAGACTAATCGTTTAAATTGTTTTTCGAGTAATTGCAGTACAATATGATAATCTTACTCGACTACCATTGATTTATATTACAATTCTTCGAACATATGTATCATGTCTCAGATGCGCTATCGATATTACAGTGAGAAAAAAAAATATATTCTTCAAATGAAATTACATTTTCAACACCAACAATGGTTTGCTTTTCTGAACCAACTAAACAAATGTTTTAATGGTAAAAATTATATATTTCCAGTCAAAATTTCAATAAATTTATAAAGAATTTCTGTCAACCACACCCTCCTATCATGAATGATTGTTCAATTCGAGACAAAATAGGATCTATCTGTCCATGAAAATGAGTATCTCAAAGAAATCTTCTAAGAAAATTGAATCAAGTCGAATTTGTTAAAATATTGATGCACTGAATTTTTCATTTGCTATTTCTTAGATGTGACTTTACCCAAATTTATTACGTAGTTCATGAAACATTGGCGTGTGCATTTGAACCAATTAATTCATTAGATAATCTTACAGTGATGGGCAATATCACAGTAGTTTTCTTTTTACTTGAAATTCTTTATTTTCCAGGACTACATCATCGCCTACTGTAGTCATATTGTGGTAGCTAGAAAATTCTATTGATCAGTTAAAATTAACCGGTCAAAGTCCAAGAGGAATTTACATGCAATACAATGAAGAAAACCATAAATTTAGTATTTGTAGGCTCTCGATATCCTCACTGTAGAGTCAGAACACACTACTTTACTTGTCTTCTATAGTTACATAGAACTCTTTTTTCAAAATATCAAACCTCGCAAGAGTCATGAGGAGAAGAATTTTCAGTTGAAACATTGCCCATAACTACTTTTCGTCGTTTTCAGTTTCCCGTGATACGATATGTTCAGAATGCTAGTTATTTATGTGAGTGCTTTACAGCCAAAAAATTTTGTTTGGACCGTTTATGTTGTATATTATCCATCTGATCTTCATTCGAGCATTTTGCACCGACAGAATGCCATAAAGTTTACTAAATGATCTAATTAGATACCCTAACTTTGTACGTGACGATATCTGTTAGAAAGAGGAAAGCTACAAGGTTGTTTTTAGAATTAATAAATATCTAAGGAACGATAGCAGATTTTTAAAAATCATGAATATCAAAAGTCCTCTGTTACTCTTTAGGAACCAACTCAAAATTATATTCCAATTTCTATGTGGTCTCTAGGATCGTACAAAGTCCTCTTAGTGGATTCTATTGTAGTTCAACGATATTCCCTGAGAGAGACATTAGCCTTTCAAGGGCTAATTAATGTTTATCTAAATTCATCCTGATGTCTTTTAGCTATTTAGATACAGAGAGTAAAAATTTATATTTATTAAAGTATAAGGAGTCGTTGAAGACTAGTATTCTGCGTTTTTTTTTCTTTGCCAATGAACATTTTTTTTGTATTATTGATATAGTTAATGAAAATAAATGCTTTTACATAATAATAAATCATTACAAATCTTTTTGCTAATAATCTATGAATTGAAATGCAATGAAATTTTAATTGTTCGTAAATATCGTTCGATAGACTTTCGAAATACTTGTTTGTAAGATATTGATGGAAAAACAAAAACCACAAAAGTAACCATGTATGGAACAAATGAAATAAGATATCCAGTAAGAAATAGCCATGAACCACTAGGTGATATTGTACAACTTCCAGTGGAATAAATAATTAGACGTGGTAAAGCAAGAACTAACGGAAATGGAGCAATTATTAAATGTTTATGTTGCAAACATTGTTCACATAATACATTTTTATAATTTTGTCGTCTTTGTATAATTGTTCGTTGTCGAGTTGTCATTATAATAGTAATCAAAGCTGATACAATATTTATGAAAAAAAGGAACAAAAAAAAATAAAACATAAGTATGAATAAATTGAGTTTCCGAAAGACAGTTGAATAACTAACTATACACCAAATTCTTGTCTCCGCTAAATAATTCTCATTCTCATTTAATAGACGTCGATGAATAGAATCATGAATAGTTGCGACAGTAATTATAAACAAAAGAATAAAAATAATATATTTAGGTATTTTGTGCACTATTTTCTGGATTAAAACTCGCTCGTTTGATTGTCTTTATTGTTCTTTCAATAGCAATACATGCATTTAAACATTGATTCATACTAAGACAAATTCGTAGAAGAAAATCTATTGATATACATTGAATATATAAGAATAATTCATTTGTTATATTTGTTATTTGTGCAATGATAAGTATCCAAAATTTCAATGCAGAAATAATCATAACAAGTAACGTAACTATTGATGAACTTAATAAATAAAGACCATAACTAGTTTTTCGAAGTTCTTTATTTCTAAATGTGATTATTGATAGAATACTATCGATTATTCCAGATATAATTATGATCATCGTTAAAACTACACTGACTTGTACAATAGACGCTTGATAACTAATGTTTCTATATTGTTGAATATAATAACCTAAGATTGAATCAAGTGGAAGTTCAAATAAATTTGACCTAAATTGACACATTGATCCATAAAAACACTTACAACAAACACATATTGATATTTGTGGACAAGTTGGATTATTTTGTACACAAAATGCATTATTTTCACAATTACTTTGACCAAAACAATTATATTCAATGCCATGATTGAATTCAAAACAGTTCGTCAAACGTTGATGACCATAATCATAATAGAAACAAAAACGTTCATCATCGTAAAAACAAGATATAAGTAGTGAATGATTTTGACATGGTAATTGATAATATTTTATGCGACGAAGAGGATGAAGTTCGAGAATAGTCTTATTGGGGTGTGGGAGTGGGGTTGGGGGTGGGGTGCGGATGTTGGTATTATCT